GTGGCACTCTCCATCCCAGGTTTCAAGAAGAAATGCAGAATTCCAGTTCTTAGGGAGGGGAAAGTTAAGGCAAACTCTCAAAGTGAGCCTGCTGACCCCATGAGGCCACTTTCCTTTGGCTCCCAGAGCTCTGGGACAAGGTGGGACATGCATACCTGGGCTTTAGAGTTAGATCTAGGCTTGAGTCACAACCCAGCCACTTAACCCTATTGGCAATAGCAGTAAAATGGCAGAAACTCCCTGGGAAAGCATGGAGTGGATGGTGTAGGAAGGCTGCTTGTAACAGACATGAGGGGCACGCAAGGTAATTATGATGACACTGCAGCAAATCTCCCCATTGGTTGTCATCCACGTGTGTAAAGAAGTGAATCCCCTCTTCAGAGAGCAGGCAGCCCCACATCTCTGCTGGGCCTGGGACCTATATTTGGGGAGGTGGAAGCCCTGTGGGACAAGAGTGCACAGAGGAGAAAGTATGTTAGCTCTAGGGTGAAGGCTGGGATCGGGATCATCCAAGGAAATCCATTCTTGGTGTCAGAAATCTTTGGGCTCTCCAAGCCCCAGTCACAGGGAGGGAGAAGGGAATTGGCTGCGGAGTAGGAGGCAGAGGGAATGAGAGAAAGAGAGTGCTCGTGAGCGCACGAGCAGGAAAGGGTAAGCACACAGCTCTGTAATGGAAACTTGGCACCCAGCCTCCACTTTCTTTCCTTCCTTAGTGCATGTGGCTTGAGTCTCAGGTTGAGAACTTCCCCTTCCAGCCAACACCAGGTGCTATCTCCACAGCCCACTCCTGCCCCCATTCCTGCCCCTCAGAGCCTGCAGCCGTGCACACGTTACCTCTGCTCATCAGCATGTGACATAGGACATGTGAGCCTGCTGCCTCCTTCTTCATGTCCCCACCCCCTCCCTTGACTAATTAGGCCAACATGCACTTCCAAGGCCTGGCAGATGAGGAGCCAAGAATGCAATGGCCAGGGGCCAAGTGTTTTTGTTGACATTGCTCAAGTATAGCTTTGTGGAACAGTTTCTGCCATAGCAGAGAAGTCTTGGGAAGCCAAAGATGATGAGGGGGAAGCAAAAAAACAAAAAAAACAACAACAACAACAACAAAAAAAACAAATGTGGCCATCCCTTCAAATCCTTTTTACTCCTTCAATGTCATGACTAATGGGACCAGCTTAGTTTCTAGGAGAGTCACACTCAATGGAGCATTATGAATACAGTGGTATTTTAGAACACTTTTTTTTTTCTTTTGTGATATTTTCATGGGGTGATGCTCATGCCTCACATTATTCCTAACAGTTTCTGAGAAAACAACTTTCTTGAAAATAAGTCCAGTAAGACAGTTTTCACCCCAACCTATTATAAGGTACAGGCTGCATTTCTGTCTTACTATAGCTGAATAATGCAACCAGATGAATTCAGTCCTCTTCAGGTTCTATCAGATCTGCACTCAATTCCCATCCTACCCCTTTTTGCTCCCTGTGTGATCTCGGTCAAGTTTTATTTAAACTCTTTGTATTTCAGTTTGGAGCTAATAGTTCAAAATAATACTGTTGTACAATGAAACATGGTGAAGAAAGGAAAACTCTTTGCACATAAATAAACACTTAGTAAATGGAATCCACAGTAACTATTAAATGGTAGTTGATGTGACCAAGATGACTCTGATCTTAGGCAGATCTACTCTGACTTATGTATGCTAAAAGTATGTTGACCCTAGAACCAACGGCCTCTTCTTGGCTCACCAGGAATTTTGTGAGGACAAAGGAAATGTGATAATATTGTCACACTTGGTTCTCCGTGGGAAGTGAATGCCATGCTTTGCTTTCATCATTCTCATTTTCTCAGACTCTGATTTCCGCATTAGTGGTCAATGGTAAAAATATATGTTTGTTGACATAAAAGTTTGTAGATGTTGGAATACAGAGGTGCTGCTTTAACAGTCTCTAATTCCTGAAGATATTGAATCATTATGTTTGAAAAAAATCCTCTAATTTTCTGCCACAATAGCTGGCTTTATTTATGTATCTCTTAATTGGTATCAGCTTTTCTCTCACAATTACAGAATCATGGAAACTTGGCCTGGGAAAGAGCTTTGGAAGTCATTGGAAGGGAAACCCTTGCCTCTTTACAAATCTTTGCATTGCTGTGTCACAAAGCACTTTTCTTTGACCCAGATTATGAGAACAGCAGAATGGCCAGTCTGTTAGTCCACAGCACAACTCTACCCTTGAATCTCATGCAAGCTGGCAGCTGCCTTTGATGGCCTTCCCACAGCACTCTTTCCTTACCTATTCAGTGCACACAGGCACTGTTCAACATTTATCTCTTTGTCTAAGGCCCTTTTCTGAGCACCAGAACCTCCCTTAAACATGTGGCAGGTTGTAAGTGCCAAGGAATTAGTGCCCCCTAGGAACAGCCTTCAACCAATGGCAGACTAGGAGTAGGTAGATAAATACCCAACCCCCCTCACCCCTTGGGTGTCTGAGATGCATGTCTACACTGGCACCCAGAGATTTCCAGAGGGGTCAAGCTATAGTTGATTCATTTTGGCAACTTGCTTGAAATGCACTCTATTTGCAGGCTCCTTTTCCCTGTCCCATTTTTCTATGCCTGGATCACCCCCTCCCCTTACCCCACATAAACTACCTGTGCTTAAATCCTTGTCTCAGGGGCTGCTTCTGCAGAAACCTGGCCTGAGACAAATGGGATGTCTTTCTCCACACTTTCAGATTTTTTAATAGTAATATGGTATTACATTAACATTTTACAGTTGCTTGTTGGATTTTAAGGCCACTAATCTTATTGTTTCTTCATGAGTTTTTGAAATTTTGTCTCCGCTTGTCACCAGTCTTAAGAATGAACCATTCAGGTTAACCAGACTACACAAATGCCTGCTTTACCCTCAAATTATCTTTAGTATTATCCTCACAATTTTGGCTAAACTGATATATGTGGTTATCCTGTAGGTGTTATATTTCAGAGTCTAAATTTATTGTTTATTATAGTTAGGCTCCACAGTCTACATTTTTTTAAAGAAAATACCCCAGGGCTGTCCCTGGCCAGCATACATAAGTTTTAGTTAGCTATCCTGATAATTTTACATCTGGGAGCAGCTTACCTTTGACTGAGGGAGACCCTCAGTGCATGAGTGGCTGATAATTTTTGTGTCCTGTTTGCTTAGGTGAGATGTCCACAAGCATTGTAATTTTCAGAAACTGCAATGAGTCTCACTTTATCCATCCACAAGACGGGAATGATTATTTTGATGTGTGCTTACTGAACATCTACTCTGAGCCAGCAATCATTGAGTTATGGAGGAACAACAGTGGATAAAATGAGCAATGTTTGTGCTCTCCCTTTCTTTCCCAAGTGATACCATGAAGTTCAAATTCAATAATGAAAGTGAATTTATTTAGGAAACTGTGAATCACTATGGAAATAGGAGAATGGGTATGATGACCTTCAGCTTTCCATTGACCATTTCAGATCATCACATTGATGGAGCTGGATGGGGTACACCCTTCAGCCTTTTGTGAAGGCCATTGGGCCCATGAATTAGGCCCTTGTCTTAGACTTAAATCCATTTTCTGACCACAGCAAGTCTGGGCATTCAAGAGGTTGCCATTACCTATGTCACATCTGTTTTGTGCCAAGCTGCTGGAAAGAGCCATCTTTGCTTGTTGTTTCCATCTTCTGGTGACCCCCTGACACCCAGTTTTGTCATTCATTTACCTTTGTCTTCCTTGATTTTTCCATAGTTGCCAAAGCTATTGATTGGCCACTATTTCTGTTTTGGAATTCTCTGTCTGATCACTTTCTATGATATAATTTTCTTTGCTCTTTTTCTTCTTTTCATGGTTCTTCAATGAATTCTTTTATTCTACTTGATTTCTGAAGGAATGTTGAGTTCCCCATGATTTCTTGCTCCATCCTCTTTTCTTTAGTCCCTTTCCCTCCTTCTCTGAAAGGCCCCATTCCTACATGACTCATACCATTCCCTGTTTGCTTTTGACTCTCCTGATGCTTCCTGACCCCTGATGTATCTGCATCCACATTTACATACCTCCCTTTCAGTGCTCCACAGACTTCAAACTCAACATGTCCTTACCAAAGAACATACTGCATTCTCCCCTCTCATGTACTTTTCAGTTTCTGTTCTTTTTCATGGCACTTCCTTCCCCACAGTCATCTCAGTTAGAGACTTCAGTACTGTTATATGCTTATTCCCTTCACATATTCTACTTTTCCTCATTCATGCCTTCATCTCTTCTTTATGGAAATCTCACTATGTGGCATTCAAGGCCCAGGCTCTTGGATGTCAAAATGGTATCTTAGCTTGGGTAACCCTCCAGGAGCAGACCCTGATCAAGTGTTCAATTTCAGGTAGCCTTTTGGGGAGGTGGTTCAAAGAAATACTGGTAGGAGACTAAATACTGGTAGGCTGGAGCCCATCATACTGAGTTAGTGGGCCAAACTGTGCCCATCGTTTCCTGAATTCATGTTCAGAGAGGCAATGTCCATAGCTTGAAATAGACCATGATGGGACTATTTACACCACAGAAATTGGCCAAGGACTACATACAAGGACTTTATCCCCCAGAGAGCTGGTTTTTAAACATTTCCCAGCATGTTTCGCAGAGTGCAGAGTTAAGACAGGGAAGGACAGCAACCAAAGAAAGTGTGTTTTATTGGGAAGGTTACACTGTAAATAACTACTATGGAATCCCAGTCAAGAAAACTCTGGAATCCAATTTACAATACACACGTCAAAGTCATCCCACTAGAGTGGTTAGGTATTAATGTACTATTTCTTACCAGTTATTGGCTGAGAGCTTCTTCTGTTGGGCCCAGGAGGATCCAGCAGCCAGAAGAAGTACGATAGTAAAGCCTAAGGGGGTATAGACAGGGTTGAGCCCCTAATGGCTCATTAAGACACTGGGCACCCAGATTGGTAATGGCTAATTAGTGATGTGTGGTTATTATCTTTTTCTCCCCAGATCTTGACTTCATGGATCTCATAGGAAAAGACAGACAGTGGACAGTGGGGAGGAAGTTAATGCAGGTGAATGAAACTGTGACTTCAGAAGACACAGGACTTCGGAACAAGAACTGCACTGAACCAGGTAACTTGACACCTGCCCTCTGGGCAGCGGATGCTGTTTTCTCTGGTTATGGCCCAGGAAGAGCTGGATGTCATGTTTTTTCTTGGAATTCTAACTCAGAGAGACTTCAAAAACATTTATAACAAGTGTCTAAGAAACTCAAAGATGACATCCCAGTTACACCTATTCAGGTGTGTTTCTACCTTTGTATTCTTTTCCTAGGGGAGCTTCAGGAAAGGTAATTCAAAGTCAAGGGAAATACAGTGTTAGGGACCCCAGTCATCACCTTTGGTATGGGAAAGAACAGAGTCAGATACTACATGGTGACCAGCTCCAGGATGCTGAGTTCAGCTGCACATGAGACCAGCAGTGATGGGGGGCCTTCTGTTCCCTGTTCCCTGTTCCTTGTTGTTGGAGTTGTGTTTTAGGGAGGTGATGTGATCTGTGAGTGGCATTACTCACTGTTATCAAGAAATGCCTCTTTCAGAATGACAGGTGTAGAAGAATAAAGCACATTAGAAGCTACTGCAAAAGAGGAAATGACTCCGTTTACAGGTAGAAAAGATGTCCAGGTTTTTAAAAAGAGCACAAACCCAGCACCTGCTGGTGATATTGTCATGGGTGGGGAGTGAGGGCCAGGGAAAAGGAGGAGAGGAAAGTATTCAGGAGGGGAACGGGAGAAGTAAATGAGAGCTCATCATGCAGTGTAGAGCCAGTCTACCAATAATAAGGACCCAGGAGGCACATTCTTGATTTCTTCATCTGTGGACTCTGGGAACTGGACTTGATTTATGAGGCCCTTGACTCTGAACCAAATTTTATAGGGAAGATGGTCATGCCTGAACCAGGAAGAGTTTTGTTCAAATCCTAACATATCAAGGGCCTGCCTGGAACCTATCTTCACTAAGCTGTTTTGACCACCCCAGACTGTTGTAACCATTCTGTTTTTGAATATTTTTTATATAAAATGTCTCTAGCTGTGCTGTCTAATACAGACATTCAATGGTGACTTAATTCAAATGAAATACAATTAAAAATTCAGATTCTCACTTGCACTAGCAACATATCAAATATCTGAGAGTTGCGTGTGGCTCATAGCTCCCATACTGAACAGCACAAATCATGAGGGCATTTCCCTTTTCTCTTGGACAAGCTGGTCTAGAAGTTTTGTGTGTATTTGGACATGTCTTCTCTCTTTCTAGCTCAAGGATATAGAGTGGATTTATAATCTAAGAGCCCCATCTCTAATCTGGGTCTTGGGATCACACAGCTGGGTTTGAATCCTAGCTTGGAGATTTGGAAGCTGTGGGCCTTTGGCAAAACAGTCAGGTTCTCTAAGCCTCAGTTTGCTTCTCTGTAAAACTAGGTTTGCTATGAGAATTGGTAATGAAGTAATAAAGTATTAACAGCCTAGTGGTCTGTATGTGGTAACTCCATAGTAGGAGCTCATTCATGAATTTCCACCGTCTGCTTGGGCAGCCATCCCTCCATTACAGACAGGTCATGGAGCTCTATTCTCCAGTCCCTCCTCATGGGAGTGGGCCATATGACACATCTGGGTCAGTCAACAGGTCAGTTCCTCAGGTGGCCAAGGTCTTGGCAGTCAGCTAGGTATACAGAGAAGCTCAAGCACCATCTTCAAACACAGACAGGTTGGAAGAGCTCACCATGGCAATGAGCACAGTACCTCTGAGGAATCCTCTGTTTCTATGAGAATGTGGTCAGAGCGTTGCCACAAACTTACATCACTACCAGTTGTCTTGATCTGCTTTCCAGAACACTTGTTGAAAGTCTACTTCTTGGTATTCACTGAACAGATATTTTATGAAAAACATTGAGAACCAAAGCATTCATGGGATCCTGATTTAGTATTAAAATTTAATAGTGTTCATCATAATATTTATTTGTACACTTTTCAGAATTTTATTTGTACATTTTTTAGTCTGTCTCCAGAAAATCTGTTATCTTTTGGTTTTCAGTTGCTTGATATCTTAAGGAAGTGAACTTTTACTCAGAGTACTTCTTTCAAATAAACTTTGGAAGAAGAAAGGTATTAAAATGATACCTTTTCATTTATGGACTCAACTCATGCTCTTGCTCACATTTTTCTGGCTGGAGGAGCTCAGTCAATGACAACTTCTAACTGCAGGGGAGGTTGGGACAGGTCCATTAGCAGAATGCCCTGGAAAAAGAGATATCAGGTTTGGTGAACAGCTACAATATTTCTCTCCAAACTTGTTTCTTCTTTAAAAAAATAAATGTTTCCTTTTTCCTTTATATTTATTTCAAGAGCAATATACTCCATCTATAGAAAAATTATCCCCCAAACTTGCATCTTCTGAGACTGGCTTAGCTCTTGGCTTACCTTTCATGATTCTCACCTGATCAAGATGACACAATTCATTTTTCTTTTCACTTTGGGAGGATCACAAGTGAGGTAGAAATATTTCTAGGTGTGCCCATTTGCAGATTACATTTTTCCTTTGTAGATACAAGAAGCCTAGGAAAATAATGAATGCTTGAGTACAGGTAAAGTTGTTGGCAATAATGTAGAAAGAGCATAAGTTTCAGAGTAAATACTAGATCTCAGTTCCATCACTTTCCACCTGTGTGATGTAGGCAAGGGTCCTAAATTCTTTGACTTTAATTTCCACCATCTGTAAAGTGCTGATAAATGTGTCTTCTTCACAGAGTTGTGGTAATCATGAAGTAAAGTACATTTTGTGAAAGAGCTGGAACCTCAGTTATAGCCTCTACTTAATAGCCAGAAATATAATGGAGGGTACATTGATGGCAGTCATTTGCAGGGACTTCACCACTCTGAGGCACATTAGAACATTGTAGGATTATGAAGATTCTCTTAAGGATGGATAGATTATTTAGCATAGCTCAACAACAATGCAGCATTTTTACAGCTGTGCGAAGGAGTCATACCCAGGGATTTAAGTAGAAGGCATCTGACTAATGCTGTTTTTTGGCCTAAGAGGTCACTATATAGACAAACAGGATGAAATAGGGAGTTCAGGATTTTCTACTTCACATTAAGAAGAGATTTTCTACTTCACATTAAAGTCTCAAGATTCAGGAGAAAGGGCCAGACAGTCTTAAGCTCTTCTAGCTTCAACATCCCTTTAGGACTCTTAAATCAAGGCATCCTTTAAAACCTGGTTCCTTTTTTAAAAAAATATATTTATTTATTTTCTCAAATACATTTGTCTCTGCCTTCCTGCTACCACTTTCCCCTGCCCCCTCCTCCCTCTCCCTCCCTCAATCCTTCCCCACTTTGTCTTTGTCCATGAGTCCTTGCTATATGTTCCTTGACTTGCCCCTTCCCTTCCTTTTCCCCCCGCCCACCCCTCCCTCCTTCCCTCTTGTCTCTGTTGGTTTCTTTTTCCTTCAGTGTTGCTGGTCTTATTTTCCTTGCATCTTTGTTTTTTTGGTTAGGTTCTGCTTATAGGTGAGATCATATGGTATTTGTCTTTCACCCCCTGGCTTATTTTGCTTAGCATAATGTTCTCTAGTTCCATCCATGCTGTCGCGAAGTGTAGTAGTTCTTTTTTTTCTCTCTGCTGCATAGTATTCCATAATTTTTTTTGTGGAATAAATGTGCCATAATTTTTTGATCCAATGATATACTGATGGGCATTTAGGTTGCTTCCAACACTTGGCTGTTGTAAATTGTGCTGCTATGAACATTGCGGTGCATAGGCTCTTTTGAATTGGCGTAAAACCTGGTTCTTTAAAAGCAGCTGAGGTAGCCTAATCCAGTGAGCAGTGCCTAGAATCTTCCTGAAATACAGGTATAGGATCATAAGTTCTGCTCTTAGATGTTTCTATGGGCCTGCCTATTTGCAAAGAACTTCAGACATTTCAAAGTATTTCCATATTAATTAGCTCATTGGAACATATTTGGCCCTTGTAATAAAAATACTTGCGACTCAGGAATGACCATATTATTGATAGAAAGTTAAACTAAGACCAAGGCAAGCTGAGTTAAAGAATTGAGAATTCATAGTCATAAATTTGGAAAGACATTTAGGGATTATTTATTCCTCTACAAAGACAGAGCCAAGCAGTTGCAACACAAATGACAGGGCCTGCAAAACCTAAAGTATTGACTCTGTTGCCCTTTCTAGTTCACTGCTGGTCCCTGTTTGAAGTTCTGGGATTGGTGTTTCACGTGGCCTAGAGGAAGATTGAGGCAAGGGCGATGTTTCCACCTTTTTCTCTCCTCTCCCTGACTCTTCCCCTAGATGGTACCTGAGCCATGTTAAAACCAGTGCCGTATTAAATATTTTTAATATCCAAACTTGCAAACTCTCCAAACTTGTTCCTTTTTACTTTATATTTATTTCAAGAGCAATATACTCCATCTATAGAAAAATTATCCCCCAAACTCACATCTGGGCTAGGTTCTGTGACTCAGGTACTCCACTCTTCTCAGTCCCACTCCCACACACAGTCACAATCAAAAACCTTCAGCATTTGCCTGTCCATGTCTGAGGGATTTGTTTAAAAGTAGAAGAGTAAATACTCATCCCCTAAAAATGCTTGAAAACCAGTAGTATGGACTAACTTCTCATTCCAGAGCATCTGGGTGTCCAGACTAGCTGTCCATCCAATCCTCCATATATACCTTGGAATTGCTTCCCTAATGGGTCTGAGGGTGAAGCATCCATATGGGGTAGGCTGAAGGTGAGCACTTTCAGCGCATGTCACCTATAGGTAGTTTCCCCAGGGCTCATCTTGCAGGTACCCTGAAGCAATGAGCTGTGAGCTCACCTGTGTGTGGAGGCTACAGTCATAGGAACACCAGCCATGGGTCAGCTCATAGAGGAGCCATCTCCTGGCTCCCTTCATCCCTTGACTGGACCTGTGTGCCCTGTGAGAATGATAGCTGCTTTTTCCTCCCAGTCAAGAAGCAGATGAGTTCTTGGCTATGTCTCCAAGACATAGAACTCCAAGAACTCCTTATGGGAGTTCACTCTTGCCTGGCCCCCAACTTCTCAGTCATTTCCAGA